CTCCAACCTCCACCTCCCGGGTTCAAGCAATTCTCCTGCCTCAGCCTTACGAGTAGCTGGGACTACAGGCACAGGCCACCACGCTTGGCTAATTTTTGTATTCTTAGTAGAGATGGGGTTTCACCATCTGAACACACTGGTCTCGAACTCCTGACCTCAAGTGATCTGCCCGCCTTGGCCTCCCAAAGTGCGGGGATTACAGGCGTGAGCCACCGCACCTGGCTTGATAATTCTTAAACTGTGGAAAATACAGGTTGTTGTGAAAGGTCAGTGAGAGTTTTTTGTTTGCCAGAAAATAATCTGACCACAGATACTTGGCTTTAATTTCACTCAATTACAGTACTTCTTTCAGAGGCAAACTCCGTAAGTCTAACTCATGTGACTGTTCCTGGAGGATATTTTCATTTGTGGGTTAAAAAACAAAAGAGTCCAGAGAAGTGTTTTCTGGAGGGAGAAAGCTGGTTTTAGGCAGCCATAGTGTTCTTTTGTCTTAATCCTGGTGTTGTGAATCTTTCTTCTGCTCCTTAAGCAGTCTCCCTTCTTGCTTCCTCACATAACCACCCCCTAAATAAAAAAAAAGTCCATGAAAGGGAAGGGATTTTAAAAATAAATTTATTCCAGTTTGGCTATGTAATTGGCTGAGGGGCACGGATTATTTTAACATCAGAATCAGTGCTGCTTAAAGTGTTGATTCCATTTGAAAAGTTACTTTCTTAAACGAAGGGGCTAGAATCTTGGCTTAGTGGATTATTCCTGGATTTCCAGGTATTAGATCCTTTTACTCGAAATTCTAGGTATGTCCACCACGTGTTCTTTGATGACACAAATGTTGATGATCTAACATGGAATATAGTGGTTAAAATGGATACTTGAGAGTATAGGGGGAAAATGTACAAGAGTAGGGGAAAGAAAACTCTGGGGCCAAACCGCCTGAGTTTAGATCCCAATGATGCCCCTCACTAACTTTGAGCAAATTATTAACTTTGAGCAAATTATTCAACATTTTTGAGTCTCAGTTTTCCCACCTATTATGTGCATACTAGTAAACCCTATCTCATAGGGCTGTTATGAGGCTTGAATGAGTTAATACATTAAAAAGTTTAAGATGATGTCTAGTACATTGTAAGTACTGAATAAATTGGCTGCTCTCCTCTAGGAATTTTTAGGTAATTCAGTGTAGAGCATAGTTTTCTCCACTCCCTGGCTTATGTCTTGGATAGATACCATTGACCTAGACTGGACCTTTGGATTGAGACTCCAATTACTAATCCAAAAGTTTGCAATAGGTTTAATCATTAAGCTCAATTGACTAGCTCAAAACAGAAACAGAAACAGTTCTAAGAACTGGCACATCTTCTTGCATTTGCCTTTCAATACTTATGCTGCACTGCACCGTCAGGAAAAAGGTTTATTAAAATATTTAGCTGTGCATACCAAAGTATAATAATAATTAAAAAAGGAAAAAACATTTAACCAGTTTATTGAAATACTGAACCAGGTTGTTAATACCAGACAAACTTTACCTTAAATAAAAACTATACTTTATGTATTTTATTTGTATAAATCTTTTGGGTTTTTTTTTATTCTTTACAACCAGAATAAACTTTCCTAAACATTGTCCTCTCATTTAAGAGTAAACTTTATTGTCACCAAACCATTTCAAATTAGGACAAATGAGAGATGCCTGGATTTTAAACCCCAAAAAACTAAGCCAGTTACCAGAAAGGATCTGCAGATGAAATTTCCTAGACTAAGGAAATATATTTTTATTTCCCTACTTATTAAAATCAAACTTTTCAAAACAGACTCTAATTTTGTCTAGAAGAAGAAATTAATATTTTTTATTTGGAATCTTTAATATCATTTTATGCTGCTTTCTCAACCAGCGTGTGTGTGTTGTATATACTCTGTATTTAAACTTCCAAGATGTGTAGTAAAAGCATTGAAAATGTGTAGTAAAAGCATTGAAAATAGGGCTAATAATTCTAGATATACTACTTTCTACAATTTAAAAGAATATAGGAAAATTATTATTATAATACTGGTGTTATACAAGAAAAATATTGCTATTAAATATGTTCCAAAATATGGAGCCTCAAATAAAAGGAAGTTGATGCTGCCTGCTGCAACCAACGATAAAGACAGGTACTGTGAGGAGGCAGCAGAAGCACTTGATCAGTTACAAGGAGATCTGAGTCTAGCACCTGCTCTGCTACCAATTAGTTACTGATCTGGAACTACTCACTCAGCCTTTATGTAGAATGAGGGGGTTGGGTTGATGAATAACTAATGTCACTTTTTTTCAAGATCATAATTCTAAAACTAGTTATATGATATGAACAAGCCACTTAATCTTTCTGAGTCTGACTTTCTTTGTGTAAAAATACAGTCTTAAAGATACCAGTACTACTTTTGCTGTCTTTTGTGGGTAATTTAGGTATTTCAGAGGCAGAGTCTTGAATTGCATAGCACAAGGTGTTAAACAGGTGATTGTGACAGAGGAATTGTTAGTTTGGCTTAGACTAGATATCCTCAACCAAGATGCAAATGGCAAAGAAGCCAGTCAGCAAACGTTTGTTGGGTACCTTCTATTCAACAGCATTGTGTTAAGACTTGAAGATATGGACCAAAACCCTTGTTCCAAAAATTGGCAAATTATTTCTTAACTTTAAGAAATGACTCTTGACTTACAGCAAAAAGATAGAAGGAGTAGACCTGGATGGATCTCCTTCTTGTTTACAAACATAGAAGTTATAAATAAAATATGACAATAATTTTCTCCTTTGAGTTACAGCAGTTTGACTGACTATGATGTGTTTATGAGTGGTTTTTCTTGTATTTGTTTTTCTTGTGATTTTTCTGAGCCTCCTGGATCTATAAGCTGAAGTTCTTAATAAAATTTGGGAAATTTTGGCTGGGCGCAGTGGCTCAAGCCTGTAATCCCAGCATGTTGGGAGGCCGAGACGGGCGGATCATGAGGTCAGGAGATCGAGACCATCCTGGCTAACCTGGTGAAACCCCGTCTCTACTAAAAAATACAAAAAACTAGCCGGGTGTGGTGGCGGGCACCTGTAGTCCCAGCTACTCGGGAGGCTGAGGCAGGAGAATGGCATAAACCCGGGAGGCGGAGCTTGCAGTGAGCTGAGATCCAGCCACTGCACTCCAGCCTGGGTGACAGAGCCAGACTCCGTCTCAAAAAAAAAAAAAAAAAATTTGGGAAATTTTGACCATGATTTCTTCTGATATTTTATCTTCCCTATTCCTTCTCTTTTCCCCTTCTAGGATTCCAATTGCATATATGTTGGACAACGTGTTGATATTGTCCCATAGATTCTTGAAGCTCAGTTTATTTTTTAAATCTGTTTTCTCCCCAGATTTGAGAGTAATTTCTACCCAGACTTTGAGCTTCTTTTCTATATGACTCCTTCTATTCTGGGATAGCTACCTTCAATTTCCAGTTGTTCTTATAGCCCCAAAGAGTTTCCTGTCATACCTTAACTCATTAAGACTGTGGCTTTCTGATCAAATTTCAGCCACTTCTGCCATAGAGACTGGGTAGTGCCCTTAGTGGAAATACCAAAGAAACTGGGAATACCTTTCAGTTTCTGCCTGTTTTTCTTTGCTGTCCAATGCATTTGAGTAGTTTTTTTTAAACGTTTGTGCATATATTAAAATTGTTATCTATGAGGGAGTTAATATGGTACAATCTATTCCATCATTATTGAAACCAGAACTCTACCTCCTGTATTTATTTTTATTTTTTATTTTTTTTGAGATAGAGTCTCACTGTGTCACCCAGGCTGGAGTGCAGTGGTGTGAACTCAACTCACTGCAACCTACGCCTCCCAGGTTCAAGTGATTCTTGTGCCTCAGCCTCCCTAGTAACTGGGATTACAGGCAGGCAGCACCACACCAGGCTAATTTTTGTGTTTTTAGTAGAGATGGGGTTTCACCATATTGCTCAGGCTGATCTCGAATTCCTGACGTCAAGTGATCTGCCCACCTCGGCCTCCCAAAGTGTTGGGATTAGAGGTGTGAGCCACTGCACGCAACCCTGTATTCTTAAAGTTAATTTGTTCACCTTTCACTCTGTTTTACAATTTGGAAACCCTGCTATCCCCAACTCAAAATAACTAGTCATTAGAACCTAACAATTCTTTATCAGGTATGCATTCTGAATCTAGTGACACCCTAACTTGCTTAGAGTCACTGCTTGAGTTCTAGTTCTCATTTAGCTGGTTTTCCTTGCCCCTTAGCCTCAGTCATTTCCCATACTCCTTCACTTATCCTTCTAAAAAAATTCCTTATTATGTTACTCCTTTGTTTTATGACCCCTGTAAGGTTCCTTCAAGATTAAATCTTCTTGGTGTGGTTTACAAAGTCCCTTCCAATCGAATCTATGTCCTGATGTTGTTCCACATAGAACCAATACTAGATGTTAAGCTCTCTTCTGTTCCTTAGACACATCAGAACTTTCCATGTTTTTGTGATTTTTGCACTTTGTATCCTGCCTACTTGGGTCACCCATTTTCATCTGGCTTTTCAAGATGTAATTTTAAAATCCAGTCCACATACTATCTCTTCCCGGATCTTCTTGGCTAGGTTACCTCTGTCCTCAACCTCTCTCCTGTGTGTTTTTACTGTACTTATAAGTCTCCAAGTTGACTCTATCTATCTATCTATCTATCTATCTATCTATCTATCTATCTATCTACTTACTATCTATATACTTTCTGATTTCTCAGGGGATTCTAATCTCCTTGGTCAAAGCATTATGTGTTTCAACTATGTCTTTTTGGTATCCATAGCATCTAGTAAGCATTGTACATCTGGTGCAGATTCTCAGTTTTTATTTTATTAATGATGATATTACAAAGAATATTTCTCAGCAATGATACTCAAAGCAGTGGTTTTACGTATAGAAATTAAGTGGCTACAGGAATGAAAGGAGAAATGATTCAGCCAGGTCATGACTGCTCTGTTATTTATTGTTTTTTAAGGAAAGTCTGCTACCTCATCAAGCACCCCTACAGAGTTCTGCAGGAATGGTGGAACCTGGGAAAATGGCAGATGTATTTGTACAGAAGAGTGGAAAGGACTGAGATGTACAATTGGTAAATTACTTGGGATAATGCTAAGGTGTAAGGTTTAGGTCACTCTTGTGTTAATAAGAATAGCAATAAAGCTTCTAGAAGCTTCAGTTAATGGTTACAGAAACAATGGGTGTAATGATGATGGCTTTAGGATGTGTTTATCAGTTCAATAGTAAAAGATGAGTTTTCTTCTTGGGCAATTTATCAGTATATTCAATGCACCTTATCTGTTTCCTGACTACTAAGTTTTTCTGCAATCTCACAGCTGTGTTTCCTTCTGGCTGCAGTGACTAATCCAGGGCAATGAATGACATGATTCTCTCAGGTTCTTTCAATTGGTAATATGCCATAATACCCCATTTCAAATATCACCACTCTAATATATTTAACTTTTCTGAAATCAAGATGCATCTTCCTAAGAATATACTTATATTAAATTTTTGTCTTTTCTTCCTTTACCTTGAAGAGTTATTATCAAGTTAGTGGTATGATTTCAATCAATTGTGTCTCAGAATCAAAGTTCAAGGCCATGTTTAAATTTGAGGTGTGCTTCTCGACACTGTATACTTCATGCTGTCTGCCTAGGGTTCAGAGCCCTAGATATCCACTGCTGTCATTTCCTATACTCCTACCGGTCAATATATCCCACAGACCCCATGAATTTGCCTTTTTGCTTTGCCCACATCCTCATGATACCATTGGCCACTATAGGCTCTATATTTTTAGTTCTCAAGATTCCAACTAATCTGTTATAGTAGCGTAGCTCATATTCCCTCTCTACCCAGGTTTATATTGTGCACATTTTAACTGGAACCTGTATTCTAACATACTACTTATTCTAATGGCAATAATGTAACCAGATAGGAAAGTATAGAAGTTCCTCACAGGCCGGTGGGTTCTATAAGCCTTCTATTGCCTTTCAAATTTCACTGCATAGGTTCTGACCTTTGACTTTTATCTGGTTTCAATTTTTTTAAAGTATGATTTATAATAAAGAATTTTTTCTCTTTTTTTACAGCTAATTTTTGTGAAAATAGTACCTATAGGGGTTTTACTTTTGCCAGAATCCCAGTGGGCAGGTATGGACCATCCTTGCAAACATGTGGCAAGGGTACTCCAAATGGTATGTCTTTTCCCAAACATTCACTCTATTTACACAGAAGAATTACTATGCTGAGTCATGCCTCTCATACCTCCAACTCGTGTTAGGTCCCCGAAGGGCATCAGGAAAGGTTTTGTGGAAGGACTTAACTCCCTTTCATGATGCTAATGTTCAAAACTTAAGGTAGTATCTCACAAAATCTTAAATTTCCCAAAAGTTTAATATGAATCCGTTGTTTGTGAATTCCTCTGAATCTTTCCTCAATTGGTTTATTTTTCCAGCTTTTGCTTTCTCCTGGAGTTTAATTAAATTGACATTTGCTCCTTTAGTTATATAATTAAAAAAAATTTCTAATCAGTCAAAATTATGGACTAATATCATATCTATTTTCAGATTTCATTTTTCCAGGTAGAGATGCATGGTTAAGTCTGTTTATAGTTGGTAGTCCTTCACCTTCTTGGTCATTTTAGTTATCCATGTTGGAACATTCTCTAACTTCATTCTACTTTTCTTGACATGACTACATTACTTGTATACAGGCATTCAGAGAGTGAAAGAGTAAATAGTATTTTCTGTTTCTAATATGGTCCCTGATAATATCCAAGATTTTAATGATTCATTTCAGTGCCACATTGGGTAATATCTTCTGAGTATAGGCTTTAGAAATTCCTAGATTCTATCCTGATAACAAGAGCCTACTATGCCGTTTAATTTTCCCTAATGTTTTACCTGTCCCTTGTTTGCCTTGACTTGCATCTGAGCAATCCTACTTCTCACATCATCCTGCAGTTAATTCGGTACTTCCTATGGGACTAGATATCTCAGGAATATGGCCAGTTGTAAATCAATGACAAAAATGTTTGATAAAACTACTGCTGGCAATGGCCCTGAAGGGAATGTGACATTTTACTTAGATATTTATTTTTGTATGTGTCAGGGGAACTCTGAAACACTAAATAAATTACATGAATTGCTCTTTTTAAGTTGCTTTTTATCTTATTATTATGAGAAATTATGCAGATCTGTATTTGATTTGTGGAATTCAAATTGCTTCCGCCCATATACATCATTGTATTACTCCATTCTTGCATTGCTATAAAGAAATACCTGAAATGCCATATCAGTCATGCTTACTCAAGTATTCATGATCCTGCTCTCTCCATAAGTCCTCCTGAATTTTTTACTTGGAGCGTAAAAGGGGCTTCTACCATGTTGACACTTACTATACATACTATATATACCATACTTTACTATATGGTATGCTATTGATACCTATTATCTTGATTTTACATGTTTTGTGTGTCCTAAATATTTCATAATGGCTTATAAAACAGATACAACTTACAAAACATAACTGTGCTACTGAATTAGGAAGAGCAAAGGTGTCAGTCACATACCCTAAGAGTCATCACACTTGTTTAATATAGATTAATTCTTTGGGACAAGAGACTCAACATTTTTTATTTGGTTATTAATTTTTCTTTTCTGAGCACCTATTAGGAAAACATGTTTATAATATTTACTGTCAAATTTCAGATTGAGCCTATAATTTTACAGATTTAGATTCTAACTGTTGGCAATTTTGTTTTTAGTTTTATATTAACAATTACTTCTAATTACTCAATATTATATACCAAATGATCAAAATACTTTTCAATGATTTTTGAGTGGGGATATTTACACTTTTAGGTAACATTGAGGAAAAGATGCATCTGACATGCGTCCACTTAAAAGTTATTTATAGCCCATAAATACGTTAGAAATTTTCATTATGTCATGGTGTAGAGGTGAAGCCATCATATAAATTAAGAGTGACTCCAACTTTGTGCTTTACATGTTATTGAAGCAATTCTAATTTCAGTGTTTCTAGTTATTGTCCCAAGAAGGAGCTGCCCAAATCTGGTCCTGAGGAAATGTCTACCTTTTGGTCAGCTGTCCCTCTAATTATTTTCTATAGCAACTACTTAAGTATTAACTACAGAAAGGCAGTGAGGTAGGGAGGCTTACGTGATAATCCTAGGAAATAAACCAATGACCTAGTAAATATTTATTGAGAGGCAACCAAACATCTAATAAATACATAGAATATAGCAGAACTCTTTGTCTTTCAGCTGTTATCCAGATTTGCATAAAGCAGTCAAGATCAACATATAATTCAATATCTATTAGGAATTTTCCTATTGTTTCTAGTCTCTCAGCCTAGTATTCTGTCATCATATCCACTTGAAAGCCATTATGTGCCTTATTGTTGAAAGGTAAATCTTCCTTGGAAGACATCAAAGGAAGGAAATAGTCAACTGGTCTTTTGAAGTCCAGATTCAAAAATCCAGACAATAAGTGGTATCTGCCTAAAAATAATATGCAATAATTTTTAATAAATAACTTTTAATAAAAATTAGTTATTGCCTAAAAATAATATGCAATAATTTTAATAAATAATTATTTTTAATAAAAAATTTCTTTTTATTAAAGCAGGCAATCCAATGGCAGTCCGGCTGTGCAATCTCTCTCCATATGGAGAGATAGAATTACAAAATGTGACAATAGGAAATTGCAATGAAAATCTGGAAACCCTGGAGGAGCAGGTATGCCATATGACTCACTGACGGGCAACTGGAAGAAGTTCTGATTCCGTGCAGTTTCTTCAGATACCTGATGGTCAAATCAATTCTTTTAAAACTCTCAAATTAGAAATAACAAAAACTAGTGACCGAAGCCACTCTTATTTATTTATTTATTTTGAGACCTAGTTTTGCTTGTGTCACCCAGGCTGGAGTTCAATGGCACCGTCTCAGCTCACTGCAACCTCCGCCTCCCAGGTTGAATGAAGCAATCCTTCTACGTCAGCCTCCCGAGCAAGCTGGGATTACACATGCCACCATGCCCGACTAATTTTTGTATATTTAGTCGGGACGGGGTTTCACTGTGTTGGCTAGGCTGGTCTCGAACTCCTGACCGCAGGTGATCCGCTTGCCTCGGCCTCCCAAAGTGCTAGGATTACAGTCATAGTAAGCCACCACACCCGGCCGCCGCTCTTATTTTTAAAAGTTGACATCTGTTTGTGAAAAAGGACAGTTGGTTCATCAAATTTCAGCAAACGATAATCAATAGCACATTGAAAATGGCTTCATCTTTGTAGATCAGTGAAGTTTTGACTGGATATAGATCCCTGACATTTGAGACCAAAGGAAAGCCTCTTGATGGTGTAATTGGACCAGAATGAAGAGAAAGAAACTATAATCAAAGACCCTTTGAAACAGGAAACTCCAAACCTGATGCGGGTCTCAGGGCAGTATCTATGAGCAGGTGAAACAGAAAGTACATCTAACTAGATGTTTTTTTCATGCAGATTAAATTATTTTGGCTGAAGTTGTACCCAAATGCACATGCACGGAAGAGCTAACACTAGGGGACAAGCAAGGGGAGGAAGAGGAAACCAACCTTTATGTACAGCCTTTCATGTGCCTGGCATGTTGCATATGTTATCACATTTAATCCTTATAAAACTTCTGTGAGTTGAATGTTATTCCCATATTATAAATAATTATAGCCAATAACACTTATTAATTGTTGAGCACCTACTGCATGCCAAATATTGTGCCAAATATTTAATGTATTTATTAATCATATTTAATTTTTATAACACCATAGATAGGTATTAATGTATGCATTTTACAGATGAGGAAAATGTGGTTCTGAGAGGTGAAGCATTTTGTCTAGTGACCACAGACAGAAAGTGATAGAGCTGTTCTTTATTTAAAAGTTCACATTGTACTACCCTGGCTCCCTAATCACAGATGGGCAGGGTAGCGTTTGGGTGGGGACAGGAGATGGAGAGTGGAGGTAGCTGCCAATCCCACAAGTTGTGCCAACCCACAGACTGAGGAAAGATGCTAAATTTGGAATCTGACAAACCAGAGTTTGGTTCTTAGCTCTGCCACGTCTAAGCTGTGAGAAACTTGGTTGAGCTCCCTAACTTCTCTTGAAGGTGCATGACTCACAAAGTTGTTTTGCTTATTAAATGTGATAACACCTGTAAACATCTAACGGAGTGCCTAGCACATAGCAAGATCTAGCAATTGAATTGGAGTTATTTGTTTCTGTCTACTGATTGGATATTGTTTCTGACACCCAAGTGTGAATAACTTGTAATATTGGTATAATTTGTGAAATGATGCTGCCATCTAGTGAAAACCAAGAGGCACACACGCACACACACACACACACACGTGTGCGTGCATGGACACCCAGCTTAACTGATGACAATATGGATTGGCATGTTTTAGCTCCACAACACAGAGTCCTGGGGCTAACTGGCACCTAGAGAGGTTATCTTGGCCAGTGCCTCCTAAACTACTGGTGCTGAAAAGCCAGTTTAAAAAATTTTGAACCCATTGCACAACAATAATTTGTGAAATACAATAAAAATAAATTACTAGAAAAATGAAATGAAAAATATGCATAAAACGCACACCAAAATTTTAGAACTATTAGATTCAACAGCAAAAAATTGCTATATAAATTTCTGACCAATTACTTTCAGTTTCTGTGCTTATCTCTCTATGACCTTCGTAACACACAGTGAACCAGTGCTGGCCCATGGATACACTCTAGTAGCTCCAATCTAGCTAAGGCAGCCCCTTATAGTTAATCAATCCTGTCAAACAGGAAAGGCTGGGAAAACCACTGGCCTGCATGTACTTTGTCCTTTACACAAGGAAAGATGCAAACGTGGAAAACTGAGTGAACATGATGTTCAGGAGATTGAGGCTCAGCTAAATTCCAACTTATTTACCTGTAGTTGCTTACAAAGTATTTGGACATAATTGCGTAAAGCTAGGGTTTTTTTTTCTGGTTTTTTAAACAGGTAAAGGATGTCACAGCACCACTTAATAACATTTCTTCTGAAGTCCAGATTTTAACATCTGATGCCAATAAATTAACTGCTGAGAACATCAGTAGTGCTACGCGAGTGGTTGGACAGATCTTCAACACTTCCAGAAATGCTTCACCTGAGGTAAAACTCACAAAGATTTTTTTTTTTTTTTTTTTTTTTTAAGAAGGGGTGTTGGGAAAGAAAGAGAGATGTCCTGAACTCCACTCCTTATTCCACAATATGGATTTGAGCATGGTTTAGGTTGCTTAAAGGTATTTTGCATAGCACTCCTGAGAGGTGCTCAAAGATACATATAAAAAAAGGGCCTCTTGTCCAAATATTTTCTTTTAGGATATTCATAATGATCATTATCGTGTTGTCTTTTTTTTGAGACAGAGTCTCATTCTGTCACCCAGACTGGAGTGCAGTGGCACAATCTCAGGTCACTGCAACCTCTGCTTCCCAGGTTCAAGGGTTCAAGTGATTCTCAGGTCTCAGCCTCTCAAGCAGCTGGGGCTACAGGCACACACCACCACACCTGGCTATCATGTTAAGTCTTTTAGGAAGTCCTGGAATGCATAAGTCTACTTCACCTTATGAATATGTTTACCAACTACATTTGACCTTACCATCCCTAGTGCATTCCAAGTAAATAATGTTTCAAGAACTTACTTTGGAACATGTGATTTTAAACTGCGATGCATTTCTATTAAGAATATTTACATTTTAGTCTTGGCTTTCTGAAAACTTTAAGCCTAGTTTACATTCCTGATATTTTAACCTGCTAAACCCTGGTACTTGAAAGCAAGTATACTCAACATTTACTAATTGGTATAGCTGGATAGTGGTCAAACAGGGCTACAAACCACCAGTATGGACTCAACCTGTGTACAACTTGAATATCCACATGCCCTGAAAATAGCTACTCCTTTCTTCCATTCCCTTGAAATGTTTTATTTCAGAAAAAAATATTTTTGAAATATTTTTCCTGCTGAAAAGTAAGTGGGATTCGAGTTAATAAAAATGGAATTGAGTGGCCGGGCGTGGTGGCTCAAGCCTGTAATCCCAGCACTTTGGGAGGCCGAGACGGGCGGATCACGAGGTCAGGAGATCGAGACCATCCTGGCTAACCCGGTAAAACCCCGTCTCTACTAAAAAAAAAAAATACAAAAAACTAGCTGGGCGCCTATAGTCCCAGCTACTCGGGAGGCTGAGGCAGGAGAATGGCGTAAACCTGGGAGGCGGAGCTTGCAGTGAGCTGAGATCCAGCCACTGCACTCCAGCCTGGACGACAGAGCGAGACTCCGTCTCAAAAAAAAAAAAAAAAAAAAAAAGGAATTGAAAGAGAAAATATTGACCTCCAAATGTAGAATTAATGGAAGGATTAACCAGTAGGCAGGAGGGCTTCAACACTCCCAAAGAGGGAAGTTAAATAGTAATCAAACACCAAAAGATCATCTCTCTGACACACTCCTGAGTTATTGATTGAAAGAAGACTACAAATTATTTTACTAAGTCTAATAGTTACTAAGTCTAATAGTTACACTAAGTCTAATAGGCATACTAAGTATAACTTAGTTATGCTAAGTATTATGAACTGTAATTTTTAACAACCAGAATACTGCAGTCTTCTTATTTTGTTTCTGCTTTTGTATCCAAGTATTTGTTTTTGTGTTCTTGGAGTTTGGTGGGGATTCTGTGAAAGATCTTGCTATGAGGTGGAATTCAGAGACTTAAACCTCCTAATTCACTACCTTAATTTATATTTTCACTTTGCCCTATCTTGATTCTCTTGGTCGTCTTAGTGGATCAAATAATAAACCTTTAATTTTGTAAAATGCTTGCCACTACATTATCATATCAGTGATGCCACTTGCTACGGTAATGATTCACAATGATAATGATGGTGATGATAACGTATGATATATGCTTCTCTGATGATCAGTATCTTCTCCTTGGCAGGCAAAGAAAATTGCCATAGTAACAGTGAGTCAACTCCTAGATGCCAGTGGAGATGCTTTTCAAGGAGCTGCTGCTACTGCTAATAATGATGCCCTTACAACGTAAGCACAAATTCAATTTGGAAAGAAAACTTGACTAAGTGCTGTTTACTTTCCTAGGCTAAAGTATTTCTCTCATGGATGCAGTAACTGATTCCTCTGGAATGTAGATAAGAGCTGTGACTTTCCACTTGACCTTCAGTTACTAGATGGAGTGGTATATGTTACCTCCTGCATCGAGGGGTGCTGGCCATGGCTTGGGAGATAGGGAGTAACTGGGCTGATTTAGATTAGAACTTGTTTTCCTCACCTTAGTTTGGCATGACCAAGGGGCAACTTCCATGCACGGCAAGACCTCTTCCAACTTCTTTTACAACACGTAGAGCTACAGAGAACAGCTCACTTTGCAGGACATACTGCCATCCCCCAAGCTGCACCTCACTTCTCTCTTTCCAAGGCCCTGGTGTGTTTGATTATTTTCCTTAGCTTTCCCGATAATGTTTTCTTGACCCCTTTGTGGGACTTGTGAGAGGGGTGCCCCGTTGACTCAGCCCACTCCACTCAACCCCTTGTGGGAGGGAACGTGTAGATGAGCAAGTGTGGGAATCAGCCAGTCACTTCTCCACTGGCAGGAGCAAACTCTCTGCAGGCCCCATGGCAGCATTCAGGTGGGGTGCCTGCAACCCCAAGGCCCCAGAGGGCATGTTACAATGCTCTGTTAACTCCACCGTCCATGGACAGCATTGCATTACCAGCCCAGTGGGCCCTTTTCCTTGTCACATGGGGTGGCTGCCCTCTGCCAGTGAGGGCAAAGGGCCAGTGTAACAGACTTTTTGGGTACCTGCACTTGGGGGTCCCAAATTCTTGTCCAGTGCCCAAGAAGAATTAGGTCACATGGACAAATTGAAGGATGGTGAATGCAGAGAATTTTATTAAGTGATGAGGGCAGCTCTCAGTGGAGAGGGGAGCTGGAAAGCGTGTGAGAAGGACAGGATGCTCCCCCCTGAAGTCAAGTCACCTCTCAGCCTCTCTCTTCTGAAGTCAGGTTGCCGCTCACTGTCTCTGAAGTCAAGTCACCTCTTCCTGACGTCCAGACACTTCTCTTCTCTATCAACTGAGTCTGGGGTCTTTATAGGCACAGGATAGGGGAGTAGGGCAGGCTGTAGTTTTGGAAAAGGCAATATTTGATTGGTAAAAATACATTATTCAGAAAGAACCAACCAGTGGGAGAGAGTGGGTAAACAGAGATTGAAGTTCTCACTTTGGGTTTCAGACTACTTTTGGCTTAAACGTTTCCCCCTGGGATCCACCCCTTTATGCTTAGAGTTTCTCTGCCTCCTCCTTTTCTGACCAACACTACATTGAAAAAAAAAGAACTCCACCTGCTTTCTCTCCTTTCTCCTCCTTTTTTCTGGATTACTGTTGATTGAACATTTGTATTAAAACTCATATACTTTATTCATTGAGACCCCTTATTGGTATTCACTCTATTTTTACCTTATGTACAGTTGTCAAAACCCTTTTAAAACTTACATCAGCTTGCATGCTTTTGTAGAAAAATAAGAAAATATGTAGCTTAGCAAAATTGAAAAAATGATCTTACCTTTATTACCCTATTGACGTATATTCCAGGTTTTTTCCCTCTGTTTCTCTGTGTGTATATGTTTGTGTGTGTGTGTGTATGTATATGTATATTACATACTATATTGATTCATAACTTGCTTTTGTCACTTAATACCTTACAAAGTTTTTTCTATAAACATCTTTTATATAAATATCTATACATCTACATCATAATTTTAGATTACGGCATTATATGAGCAAACTTTCATCGAACCAGTTATCTGCTCAGCAACTGGACATTTACATTGCTGGGAGTCTTTTAATGTTCTAAGTAATTAGCATTCTGGTACATAATCTTTATTTACATGACCCATTATTTCCTCAGGAGAAATTCCTAGAAGTAGTTCTTAGTTTTCTGATGATTACGGCCAGTACCTACTTAGTGTTGAATTTTCAAAGTAGAAAAAGCACAAAGGCACAAAATAGAGCATTCAAAGACTATAATTCTGAGAGGTGGTGGTAGAGGTTGAGTGAACAGTTTTACTAGCATACTTTGCGACTTCAGATTTCAGTAGGAGTCTGGGCCCTTCTCATGGAGAATGTGGATGTCTCTCATTTTTCTTGACATATGAGAAGGAAGTGGCCATGGGGTCCAGAGTCTATGTTCAGTGAACAGAGAGGCCAAGAGCCAGAGGGGGCTCCCTTCACAGCTGAAAGCTTTGTGTTTGCAGAGTCTTGCTAGAGGGGAGGAATGAATGTTTTTGGTGAGAAAGCTGAGAAAAGAGAAGTTGTGGGATTTGAACATCACAGGTCACAAAGCAGATAGGAACATTTTCCTAAAAATAAACAATTTTACTGGCTTAATATATAAAGGAAAATACAATTTTGTGTGATTTATATGCAATATCCAAATAGTTTTAAAGGAGATGGTTAGAGGATAAATACAATTTTAAAGTATAGGATATATTGAACTATAAAATGGTGTAAGCATGCTCAATTCCTCCTTTTATCACTCTGAATTTCTAGTCCAATTCTTTTCTAATAATGTTCTATCATTTTATCCTCTACCAGTGTGATCTTTTGCATAAGCTCTTGTGGACTCAGATCCTTCCTTCATTCACGTAGATAAGGCTTCCTCCTCTGCCTCTAGCCCCAAGGTCAGGTCACCAACCCTTTAGCTCTCTTTAGGAGAACACTCTTGATGAGCTGCCAACAGAGGTCATCTCTCCCCGAGAAGAAAATTAAGTGTTGTTCAGGACAACACTTGATTTCCAAACTCTATCTTCTGAACCTAGGCCAGATGCTGGGTTCCCTGACAGACATCAGGCCTTAGTCATCCATTTCACTTTGACTTCTTCCTTCTTTCATTCCAGTTTTCTCTTGGTGTCTCTCAGTAGCTCCCTTTCTATAGCATAGGGAGAAGTGGAGAGGGTGAGACTAAAAGGGAGGAGAGTGACAGGGCAGAAAGACCCTACCCCAGCCTCAGCCATCTCAAGTTGTCAAAGAGAAGGTCTCTAGTGCCCATTCTCTTTTTCTAAATTGAGAAGAGGCAGAATGTCAATGTGGGCAGAGCTCTGGGGTTGTAGGGTTTCTGCTGGTGAGGGCATCATAGTACAATCAAGTTTAGGACTTCATCTCACAATTTTTTTTTCCTTTTTTTGAGATGGAGTCTTGCTCTGTAGCCCAGGCTAGAGTACAGTGGCACGATCTCAGCTCACCGCAACCTCCACCTCCCAGGTTCAAGCGATTCTCCTGTCTCAGCCTCCCTAGTAGCTGGGATTACAGGCATGCGCCACCAAGCCCAGCTAATTTTGTAGTTTTAGTAGTTTAGTAGAGACAGGGTTTCACCATGTTGATCAGGCTAATCTCGAACTCCTAGCTTCAAATGATCCACCCACCTTGGCCTCCCCCACTGTTGGGGTTATAGGCATAAGCCACCGCGACTGGCTGACCTCACCATTGTAGACACTGGTTGCAAAGTCTGGTCTGTAACCTTAGACCTTTGATCTCATATTGAAAGTCATAATTACCCTGGTTTATCTGACTTTGGGAATGCAAAATGCCTCCCTAGCACTGACCACCTGTACATTTACATTTCACTTTTCTTTTTGTATTTCTCTTCTGGCTAGCCTGGCACCCACTCAGATTATCTTGACCAAATAGAGATTTATTATAAATTGGCATATGGGGTCTCATGGAGGTCCAAGAACTGGATCATAATATAGTAGGCCTTGTCAACCCAAAACAATCAAAAAGGTCAGAATCTAGTTTAAAGATAATTCACTCAATTGCAAAGTTTAAGGACAGCTGCCTGGGAAGCACAAATTCCAGAAAATGAAAGTCAATGTTTTGAAGTATATAAGTTTGGGATCATTTATATAAACAAAGTTTAGGGAAGCTTAACAGAGTTTTAATGTCTTTCCGTATAAGGCTTGATGCATGGTTATAGCGATCTGATTAGCTGAGGTGGTCTTTTTCTTTTGGGAAAGGTGTAATTAACATTCCACACTGAAGATGTAACAATTACACTGAAGACCTAACAATCATGAGCCAACTGGTCTGAGTTAGGTACAGGACAAAAAAGGAGGCAATTAATCTGTAACATAGATCAGTCATTAGAAAGGGGAAAGTTCTGGCCTCTCCGAGTCACTGACAGAACAAGAACAGTGAGGAAGAGAGTTAATCTATAATCTAATAAGCAGAAGTTGCAAACATGCTACACGCGATTCAGTCTCCAGGGCTTAACTTCCTTTTTGACCTAACAAATTGAGAGGGTCTTGAAATTTTATTTTCTTTTATTGCCGTATAGACCCTGGAGCAGGAAGATGACTGAGGATCCAAGGCAGCTTCGGAAGCCTTAGTAGAGAAGTTTACAGGTCTTTTTTTATTTTCAACAGGAAGAATTAGCCTCTTATTTTTAATTTGTGTTTTTTTCTTAGGATATAATGACCTCTCTGGCTCCCTCTACATTATGACTTTCCTGACATAACTACAGCACTAATCAAAAAAATCTTGTGTCCAAGAATTTGATGACTTATTTTTGTCAGTTGTGCCAGGTGGATGACCACTATCTGGATTGGCTTCTCCGGGGCAGGTGCCCATCTGTAATCTTATCAGTTATGATAAGAGGAGGAAAGAATTACAAGAAACAAAAAAAATGACCTTAGAAGCAGCTGTGGTTAGAGCAACCCTGTAAAAGTGGGAACATGAAAAACACCTCCTGTATATCTACCACGTCTTCCTTTTAGCTTGCAAATGCCTGAGGGAGCAGCTGCTGGTACTCCCACTGTTCCACAGAGTGCTGACCTCTAAGTAGATACTCAACATATACTGTTGGGGAGAATGATATTCTTAGCAGGTTGGAGTTTAGTTAGGTATTCCTCCCATTGAAAGCAGCTCTGGGGTATGTGTGAATTGCTGAAAATGGTTTTATAAAAGGAAAACATTTCAATCAGAGGATCTAACCTGAATGTTTCCATACGAATGATGATTACATTCTCTTTATCAAGCAATCCTCAATTATTGTAAGCTTTCTCTTTATCTCATTTGGAGGTAGAGAAAAGATATTGTAGTGTCAGAAATAAAGATTTGGCATATAGAACAACTACATTTTGATGAAATCGTTTCATTTCTGGAAAAACTAGACTGAGTATTTTACATACAGAGGTTTTGTTTGGTCAAGTACAGAAATAGTTCAAATATATGGGAAACAAGAAAAAGGAAAGGTCTTACGACTTTTCTTTGGAGAACGCCAAATCGACAGGTTGCTGCTACTCCCTCCCACCTTCCATCTAATCTATCTGTGAACTTAGCCAAAGTAGAAAAGAACATTGTAAAAAACCTTCAGGGTCTAGTTCAGAGCTGAGGCAACGAGCTCAGAGCTCTGCTCTTTGTTGGTTCCATCTAAACTGTCACCTCAGGAACGAACAACTTACGAAACATGCTTTGGATCCTAAGGGATTTGGGTGAGAGGAAGAAGATGAATAGATGGAAATGGATTCTCACCACTGGAGAAAAAATTAGAAGTGCATTCCTTGCCAGTGGTGGGTGGCAACACCATCCTTCTGTGTGAGGAGCATCACAATAAACACTATTTCTTTAGGGAATTCTGTAATTCTTGAGTTCTGCCTTTTTGCCATCTATGCTCACAGGGTAGCCTTCAGTGAGGACGGTCCACCCGAACGGTCTTATTTAAGTACATGTAATGCAACACAACTCTAGAAAAGAAAACCAATTATTCTGAGGCAATTGTTAATGCTGTCACGACCACACGATTCTATGCTCATGTTTTTCTGCTGTAGTATAAGACAGAACACATACCTTTCATTTTATGACAAAATCTTGAGTATTAAGTTGTGTTTTATTATATGCAGGCTTATTGAGCAAATGGAGACTTACTCCTTGTCTTTGGGTAATGAATCAGTGGTGGAACCTAACATAGCAATACAGTCAGCAAATTTCTCTTCAAAAGATGCTGTGGGGCCTTTAAATGTTCGCTTCTCTGTGCAGAAAGGTGAGCTGTTAATCTTATTTGCTTTACTTAACAGTAAAGAGCGTTCTGCTACCGATGATGAATAATAATGCTCTACTCACGATAATGTAGACTTTTACAATTCTACTCTTTCCCTTCTCATATAGGAGCTAGCAGTTCTCTACTTTCTGGTTCAACATTTATACATACAAATGTGGATGGCCTTAACCCAGATGGACAGACTGAACTTCAGGTCTTGCTTAATATGACGAAAAGTAGGTCTCAAACTTCGTGACATTTTAAAAATTGGACTCGAATTCATGGAACTAATAACTTCTAATTTACTGAAGGAGAAATAATATCTACTTACTTTCATACTGAGTAATTTGCATTTGAGTATGTTTGAGCTCTGACATGTTATGGTAATCTCAACTCTACTATTCTAAGTCAAAAAGATAATTTCTTTGTTTTTTCTTTTTTCAAAAGCCTTTTGGAAGGTAGCAGAATTGAAATGTTCAGGCCATGTACACAAATATGTTTTCCTACAAAAATCTTGGCTAAGGTGGTTCTGTTTCACACTTACACATTTAAAACATGTTCAATCACAAGCTCTGACCATGTTTACTAGTGGCATGACACTGTCAGGCTCAGATGCACCCTGCACACCTAACCCTGGAGAAGTCCATGTAATTGGCACAGTCATCATGTAGTAGTATCAATTTTAGCTTATCTCCTCTCTATGGTGCCCACCGTGTGCTCACTATTATCCCGCATATAACCTTTCAGAAATTCTTACAAGTAACTTGAAGTGGTTGTATTTTTCAAAGTCTAAAAAAAAGATAAGTAAATCAAACACACACATTTACTTTTCATTTCTCCCCAAACAAAAAAACCCGATGCCAGAAAGTATATGTGTTACATAGAATAAATGTATAATAGCAGTGAAAAAGAAGAGAGTATTATTCGTGAATCTGGCACTCTGGAATTTGCTCTCATTTGCTTTGGCCACATGCTTTGTGATGGTAAAGACTAAATCTAAGTCTTCTATGTTCTTGTGCCTTTTTTCTTTTAATTTAAAAATACTTCATGCATACAGAAAAGTACAGAAAGCAATGTGAGGAGTACCTAGGTAACTACCAGCCAGGTAAATGAATGTCAATTTTTCCTATATTTGCTTCAGATCTCTTTAAAAAAGAGAGAGACGATATTACAGTTGCACCTGAAGCCCTCTACCTCACAAATCACTGCAGCCTCAACTTCCCAGGAGGAAGCAATCCTCCAGCCTCAGCCTCCCAAGTAGTTGGGACTATATAGGTACGCCCTGCTAATTAAAAAAAATTAAAAATTTAAATTTTTTTGTAGAGACAGAATCTCGCTATGTTGCTCAGGCTGGTCTCAAACTCTTGGCTCAGGTGATCCTCCTGCCTCAACCTCTTAAAGTGTTGGGATTATAGCCATAAGCCACTGTGCCTAGTCTCATTCTTTTATTTTTAAAGAAAGAAAACAAAAAACCCTTGCTCTACTTTTAGGGTTAACTTTTCATTTAGCGTCCAGGAGAAACAATTTGGTGATGTCAATGTACTGTGAACAAAAGCCAGCAACCCATCCCTTTCTCTCCAGGTGGAGACTCCAACAACTGCCACAGAGGAGGACAATTTGGGGGCTGTCGGGGCCTTGCCTGTCTCCCTCTCAAATCAGATGACGGAATACTCTGGTCTCACACCACAACATTTTCCTTTTATCACTTGTGAAAGGCAACAGAGTTTAGGAAATTAATTCAGTTAAAATACATACTGTTGATGCTTCTGCTGTTTTAAATATGCCAACAGTTGTCTAAAGTGTTAGGAGGCAGTCCTGGTTCTTTGACTGCTGCCGCCAATGGGCTGGGTGCAAAACCCTCCGCAGCAGCGATGGTCTTTCAGGATCTTTGATGAGGAGCTGATTCCTTTTTCCAATGTCCAGACGATGTTTCACAGTAGCCTGCTAGCCTTGGGAGAAGCCCATGATTGTCATGACACAGCAGGGGACAATAGTTGAAGAGATAGTGAAAAGTGCCTGCCTCAAAAACTCCACAGAAAAAGTGACTTGAGCTCCTTGCTCCGTGACTTAACACCACTCGTCCCCTTTGAACAGGAGACCGACCTCATCTGGGCTCAGCCATCCTGGTGTCCCAGCTTTGCTATTTCCTGTCTCATATTTTGTCATTGCAGGAGGCAACATGGGCTGGGGCTGCCCACAGGTCATGTTCACTCTCTCCATCTCTCATGTATAAAGCAAGACATTTACTTTATACATGAGATCCTCGCAATACCTTTTTGAGGTGGATTAGACAGAAATTCTCATTCCTATGTAGAAGGTAAGGAAACTGAAGCTCAGAAAGAAAAATTAATATGGTGGAATGGCCCACTATAGGTTATATGTATTACTTACATATTGCAATTAAGTAAAGTTTCAACCAGTAAACCATTTTTGCTGTACTTTACTAAAATATTAAGCAGTCATGCACTTCTATAACAATGTGAGATATTGTTTTTTGTTTACCCTACAGCTTACTTATTGATCTTAATGTCTTTTTCTCCCTATAGGTAACAGCAAGGCATGTGGCTTTGTAGTTTATCAAAATGACAAGCTTTTCCAATCAAAAACTTTTACAGCTAAATCAAATTTTAGTCAAAAAATTATCTCAAGCAAAACTGATGAAAATGAGCAAGATCAGAGTGCTTCTGTTGACATGGTCTTTAGTCCAAGGGTGAGTTTTTCATTGCAGATACAAGAAAAAAGTTTCATGCTTTCTGTCTTTCTGATGGTGGCAGCTGAGACTGAGTAGAGTAATACAGGGGAAGAAGAGAATAGGAGCAAAGGGCAGGAGTTTCCATGAACAGAAATAATAAAAATTCAGACCAATCTTGAATACCAAAACCAGGGATATTTTGAATAAAAGAAATCTACAGCAAAACTCTTCAAAAGATTCTTTGAAGTATCCATTTAAATATTCCTCCCAATCATATCTTTTGTCAAACTAACTAAGTGCAAAGTTAGCTAATTTAAATTTTATCTCCTTTTTTCCCTCTCCTTAATCATAATGAATGTGCTAATGCTTAGTATATATTTAATTCACTTCTCAGATGACTGTCTTACACTACTTGATTTTTTTAGCCCAATTAAACATTTAGAAATAGTAATTGTAATTGTCTTGTCAATTCACAGTACAACCAAAGAGAATTTCAACTGTATTCCTATGCCTGCGTCTATTGGAATTTGTCAACAAGGGACTGGGACACGTATGGCTGTCAAAAACACAAGGGCACTGATGGATTCCTGCGCTGCCACTGCAACCATACTACTAATTTTGCTGTATTAATGGTAAGGATGTACATAGCAATCTCTTTCCGGATGAGAATTTTCCTTACACACAATTCTAGTATGTGCTCCTTGGAGATAACTTTGGGATTTAATTTACATAGATTCTCAACTCAGATTAAATAGAAAAACAGGAAATAAAATGATAGGACTAAAGGCTGGGTGCGGTGGCTCACCCCTGTAACCCCATCACTTTGGGAGGCCGAAGCAGGCAGATCACGAGGTCAGGAGTTCGAGACCAGCCTGACCAACATGGTGAAACTCCATCTCTAGTAAAAATACAAAAATCAGCCGGGCGTGGTGGTGCATGCCTGTAATCCCAGCTATTGGGGAGGCTGAGGCAGGAGAATTGCTTGAACCTGGGAGACAGAGGTTGCAGGAGAATTGCTTGAACCTGGGATACAGAGGTTGCAGTGAGCCGAGATCGTACCATTGCACTCCAGCCTGGGCGACAGAGTGAAACTCTGTCTTGAAAACAAAACAAAACAAACAAAAAAATAGGACTAAGGTAAAGGCAAGTAGAATAGAACTTTTTGCTATGTGGTCTTAGGATAGACAGGTCAGCACTATGTATTTAATCATGGGAAGGGAGCCCATGTGCGCAAGAAAAGCTGGTGGACTCCATTCAACTAACTCACATGATCTGAAGCATAAACTTGTTATAGCCAGAGGTAAAGCTGTATAGCTGTGTGTCGGAGACAGGTTCAATATTTCCTTAGCTATATATAGACAGTTTAAATCATTACCCAAAGCTTTTCCCATTGAAATTGCTCAAGTTACTAAGGTTTTGCTAGAAGATACAAAAGAAAAAACTCTTTAATTCCTTCAATTTGTCCCCTAGTTTCTCTGTGTATTCTTTAATTCTTTTACTCTAAAGCTATACTGTGCAAGCAACTGATAATACTTAGCGCTGGTGTGCAGCTGTGCTTGCATCTCTCAAGGTTCTTGTGCTGACCCTTGTAAGAAGAGGGGCTTCTGTATGTTCTATTTCCAGAAATCTGTCATTCTGGTGAAACAAAAAAAATTTAGTTTATATAGTTGATGGAATGTTTTTTATGCATAATGGAATGGGGAGTTATAGAGAGTGTTCTTCTCCTTAGTAAGGGACTATTAATGTTACGAATCTCCCAAGGTGAAGCAGATGTTTTCATTTCCCAGTAGCTATAATATAGCCTGTGGAAGCCAGTGGAGACTGGTGGAACATACTTGTATAGCTTACATTATCAAAGCATAGAACCTTGCTTTTTGAGATAACTGTAGTTTTCTCATTTTAACTATAAAAACTCTCTTATTTTAATTCATTTGGATTATTTCTATTCTAACTTGTATTACAGAGAGGTCTCCTTTCTCAATCAGGAGATACAGGAGAAAAATTTAACTTTTTAATATCTTAAAGTCATAGGATCGTTGATTAGCTATGTAAAGCTCAGGTTGCTATACATGTTTAATGATACAGTTTACTACAGTTATCTATTCCCTTTCTTGAGGTTAGGCTTTCAGCTATGTCTTCTCCCTAGTATCTGACTGCCTCAATGCCTATGTACCTACATTTGTAATTGGTTTTGGTTTGCAATATATTTTTTTAAATGGCTGATTAAAATTGCCTGTGAAGTAAGAGCAAATAGGCTCTGAGTGAAAAGATTATTTTTAAAATCTGAACACCTATGAATCTTATGATTCTTTTTGCATCTACTTAGTATACTACACACAAGAAATAACACAAAATTTTTGTTTTATTATTTTTAAATGTGTATTTTGTTTTTATTTCTATAAAAGCAATACACAGGCATTGCATAAAGTATGAAAGTATATACTGAACAAAAATATACTGATATGGAAAAATGTTTATGAAAAAGTAAAATAGCAATTCGAGCATAATGCTATTATGTTAACAAACCCCTGTGTGTTTGTGTAATAGACATAGATAGTATTTTTAAGCATGTAAGAAAAAAAGATAGGCTCTCAAGAGGTAGGTGTGGTGTGGGGTAGCTGGCAGTATAAAGGAACATATGCTTTTTTATTAGGCCTCTATATTCCTTTCATATTTTACAAGTAAGTATACAGTGCTTTTCTAATTTTAACAACTTAAAAAATCAGAAAGTACAGATAAGCAAAATGAACTATCCATATCCAACCCACCCTGTGACCATCACCACTACCTCACCAGATTTCTAAGATCACAGACTCATATGGTATATATTTTCATATATATACACACACACACACAAACATGTTGAGAGATATATAAATATATTACACAAAAATAAGACTTTCTTTAAAAAATTAACAGGGTATGAGCATCTTTCCATATTTATGAAGATATTTCTGCAACTTTATTTTTAGTGCATCAACTTAGATATACTTAGAGTCCAGTTACACATAAAAATAATGTCATGAATAAGTGAGGCAACTTTTGACAATTTAGATCTAATTCAAACAATTTTGATTTTAGACATCAAGGAAGAGTATAAATAGTTGACTTGTGAACAACATGAGACTGTATGGGTCCACTTAATATGTGGATTTTTTTCAATGACAAAATCTGCCCTCCACATTGGCCCTCCACATTCTGCATCCACAAGGAAACATAGATGGAAAATAACACAGTATTTTCAGAGTGTAAAACTGGTGTATGGAGGCCAGCTTTTCACATCAGCAGCTTCCACAGGACCAACCGCAGGACTTGAATATGCACGGCTTTTGGCATCTGCAAGTTGTTCTGAAACACTCCACCCTGCAAATACCAAGGCATGACTGTATATTTTTCCCTAACTGAATGAGTTAGATAATTACTCTCAAGCCTGTACTTCAGGTAAACTGCTCAGCAATACGCGGTTGATGTATTTCACTTTTAAATATATCAAGAGCTTTACAAAAGGAAGATATGTCTGGCAACTGTCTGGTTATTTTGACCCATGTAACTCTGTGATGTTGACTTTCATTAACATTTCAGGGATGATTATTTAAAAATATGAGTCTTAACTTGTTTTTCAGACTTTCAAAAAGAATTATCAGTATCCCAAATCACTTGACGTATTTTCCAACGTTGGATGTGCACTGTCTATTACTGGTCTGGCTCTCACAATTGTATTTCAGATTGTCACCAGGTAAGAGCAGAAGCAGGCTCTCTTCAGAAAAGAAATTGCTATCTTGATATAATTTACTCTGAGAATTCTCATAAGAATGTAGTGTCTTTGAACTAGATGAGAACTCAGAGATGTACTTATTTTATAGAGGAGGACATTCAGGCCTGGAAAGGCTAAGAAATACACACAAATAAATATATAATTACAAATTGTGGCAAGTGCCTTGAAAGAAAATTATATGCCACTTATTTACAAGTTTGTCATGTAAAATTAATGTGGTCCTGCAGCTCATGAATGCTATAATTGCTTAGTGTTGAATAGAACCATGCCTATCAATTTGTATTTGTAAAGGAAAGAGACATTGCAAACAGCTTTTTTTTTTAAAAAGTGATTTAAAAAATATATCGAGCTTTCAAATGGTGAAATGTTTTCCAAAAATATATGGTTTTCAAATGATGAAAGTTTTTGAATCCCATACCTTAAAATCTAATTTTAAATAATGACCTATAAACAAATACTTCTCTCCACCTTGACCCCTTCATTTGAGGTCCAATTTTGTATCCCAATCATTAGGTTTTGTCACATGCTACATTTTTTAACTGCCTGTGGTCTTTTAGAAGCTCGTTCATTTATTAATTTACTCTGTTTACTGTGTGTTTCCTCTGTCAACTTCACATTTCATGTTTGTTTGGTCTTTCATGACACTGAAATTTTTCAGGCATTCAGGCCAGTTACTTTGAAAAACGTTCCACAATGAAGATTTGTCTGAAATTTTCTTCATGAAGAGATGCAGGTTAATGATTTTGGGTGGGAATACTGCAATCATGGATTTTTTTTAGTGTGACACGACAAGAAATGCATATCAGTGTGTCTCATTGTTGTAGGCTGTAAGTTTGATTCCTCGTTGAAAGTGATGTCTGCCAGATTTCCACATTTTTTCCCTGTGTAAATAATAGGTGACTCATGGGGTGCCACTTTGAGGCCGCATGATATCCTGTTTCCCAAAAATCTTTTACTTAATGATCTTGTTGCTCATCCTTACTGGAACAAATTATTACATTAGTAGTTGAAAAATGATGATCTTCTAGTCTATCATTCTTTCTATATTTGTTTGCTATACTCTTTTGCAAAAAGCATACTTCCCAGTGTAGCCAGAGGGAGCCACTTCATGTTGTTTTGTCACGTCTCAGTCTTTAGTCACTTCCTTATTTCAATCACAGCAAAATGATCATCTTTCACTTTCTGTGCCTCATACCTGAACCAGCCATTTCTCCAAAGAGCCAGAATTGTTTTCGATTCCTTTTCTTCCCCTTTTCACATTAAATGAGTCTCTTGCCATTCATTTAAAAGTTTTACAGTGAGTGCTTATGTTGTAAGGAGCTGAATACAAACCTATGAACAGACAGATAATCTCCTATCTCTCATGAAATATACACTTTTGGGGGGGAGAAGGAAGACATTATAAAAATATATACACAACTGAATATATAGTTACAAATTGTGGTAAGTGCCTTGAAGGAAAATTACATACCATGTAATTACATGTTTGTCATGTAAAATTAAATGCCTCTTAAATTTGTCTCATTATTTGTATTTCTACCATCACCACAGTTGTACTGATGATTATTTGGCCCCATAAGGATGAGTCATAGTTGCTGCATAACCAGTTTCTTTGCCCAAACCTCACTCTTTTCATTTGTCATCAGATTTCTTACTCCTTCATCAATACGTTTTCTAGCACAATTATACAACCATAGATGGCACTAAAATTCATCGGGTAACAAAAATAAAAATAAACGCCAGGCATGGAGGTTCATACCTGTAATTCTAGCACTTTGGGAGGCCAAGGCAGGAGGGATTGCTTGAGCCCAGGAGTTTGAGACCAGCCTGGGCAATACAGCAAGATCACATCTCAAACAAGGCAATACAGCAAGATCACATCTCAAACAAAATTTTTCAAAAAAGAGAAAAAACAAAACAAAAATAAAGACAAAATTTTATTGATTTTAAAATCCTGAATTATAAAATTTTCTTTGTTCTTGGACAGGTTCCTTATAATAATAATGCACAGAATACAGATAGTCCCCTTCTGACCATGGTTCAACTTACGATTTTTCAGCTTTAAGATGGTGCAAAAATGATAGCATTCAGGATGTTTCTTGATTTATGATAGGGTTATGTCCCAATAAACCCATTGTAAACTGAAAATACGGTAAGTTGAAATGATGTTTTTAGTTTTCAATGGGTTTATTGGGATGCAATCTCATTGTAAGTTGAGGAGCATCTATACAGTAATAACGTATATAGATAATAATGTAATAAGAAGGGCCAGGCTATTTGAAAATCACCTCTTCTCCCTGTGGATTATAATTGATAAAATTAGATAAAAACTAGAATCTAATCTTACTTTTATATAAAAAGATTCTTTTGAGTACTTTTTGCAGTTCCAGTCATTAAAGCTCTCAATAGATTTAATGAAATTTTGAATTGTCCAGAAATCTCAACTAAAATGTCAAGCAGACGGACTGAGTGCTGTTTGAATGAAACATTGTTTATTCAGTGTGGGAATCCAAAGATCAAGAGAGGTCATGATGAAACATCATAAAAACATAAAGAGTATATAATGGGCAAATAGACTTCATCAAATTATGAGTTATTAAGAATAAAGAGGTACTTGAAGGTTAGAACTTTAGGCATAATAATTAACCTGGGAAATGGTATTCCAAGAGGTCTTGCAGTTTGAAAAATCCAGAAGGCTTTAAATGGTAGTGAGCAGAGATTTTATAACTTTTATTGGTGTAGAACTATCTGCCATAATATACATGAAACTGTAACATGCCTTTAAGGGGATATAAGGGGATTGATTTTAAGCAATAAGGAAAATAACACATGTACAAAAAAGAGTATTATGTCTTACTTTTTAGATCAACTTTACTAAGAGAAATCTTGCATTCTTTGCCAATCTGAAAATACACATGTGGGCTAGCACAGAACATATACATGAACTACACACAGCACACCATACATACACACACACACACTCATACACACTCAAACACTCATACTGCCTTCTGAAGATTACTGGTAAACAAGGCTGGCCTGCAGACAAAATCAGAGAAACAGCTGCTCTTTTAGAGCAAAGACATTAGGTAAGCATCAGAAGGGAAAAAAGGCAATTTTAAAGAGCACTTGGTTGTCCACCCAGAAATTATATCTTCCAATAAAGGAACAGTTCTTGGGAATGATTTACATTCAAAGTGCGGTTCAGGACATCTTGACCATCTGACAATCAGCAAGCATTTCCCAAAATGTGGTCCCTGAAACATTAGTCCTGGGGAGATTCTTGATGAAAATAAGGTTCTGAAAATTCTTGCAGAAAAGATACGTTAAATTTTGTTGTGTATAAGCCATTTAAAAAGACAGTAATCATTAGTCTACTTAAATTATAAAGAATAGCATCAGTAACAATAGGCCGTGCAGCAAATTAAAAATATTTTTACCTAATTTAAATCTTCACGGAAGCCTCACTCTAAACATAAAGTAAGCTGAATATTACCTAATTTTGTTTTAAAGCTATTACACTGTTATGGGAAATTATTTAAAAATTGTCTTTGGCCTTATTTTAAAAGTGAGTTTTAAAGATAAATTACATTTTAAAACTCAAGAGTTTTTTTCTCTACATTTAAACATGAGTTCATGTACTAATGTGCAATTTTCTGTTATAAAAAATTTTAAAACTCCATATAGGGCCTCTTCTATAGATGCTTGCAAATTTAGAGTAGAACTTATTATCTAGTGTTATATTAAAAAAACTGCCCCAAAACTCAGTGGATAGGAACAGATATTATTTCTAACGATTCTGTGGCTTGTCTGGTTCGGCTGGGTAATTTTTCTACTGGTCTTGCTGGAGTCTTGCAGTCAGATGGCGGCTAGGCCAGAGTCATCCGGAGGCTCACCTAGGATGCTAGGACAGCTGGATCTTTCTCCCTCTCCATACAGTCTCAGAGGACTTCCACGCAGTTTTTTTTTTTTTTTTTTTTTTTTTCAGAAAGGTGGCTGGGCTTTTTACACAGTGGCTCAGAACTCCCAGGAGCACAAAAGGGAAAGCTGTCAGTGTTGTAGGACTTTCCCCTTTGTTCAGCTGAAAGCTGGGTTATTGTCACAGGACCATGAAAGATTAGGCTCACAGACGCTTTGAAGGGTAAAAAAAAAACAGGGTTAATTGGGTGAAAAGGGAAAAAAAGGGCAACAGGGACTCTCAGCAAAGTGAGAGTCCTGCTAGTACGCCTGCGCAGATTGAATCCCGATACCTCCCGGGAAGAGGAGAGGCCAGGCTCCTCCCCTCTGCAAAGGGCGGGAACTTCCCACAGCTCCACCCCGTTCTCCGAGCACGCTGCTCAGTTGGAGGTTCTCCTGGTACAGCTTTGTACTAGGTTGCCTCACCTGGAGGGCCATGTTATGACTTTTATATTCCCCAGGCACTTGTGCCTTTGTGAAGCCTTTCATTCATTAACGAAAGATTAAAAATTATATTTTATGATTGCATTGGTACAAAGATGAATATATTACTATTCTTTGAACTAAGAGTTCTCTGTTTTCTTCTAAGTCTAAAAGAAGTTAAAACATTACTATGGGATACAAACACTAAGCACTATTGTGTCTAATGGATAAGTCGGCCTTGGCTGCCAGGACTTCTGTTGCATCCCATCAGTTACATCAAGGTACAGGTCAGGCTACTGTGAAGGGACTGTACAGGGCTACCTACCAGGAAGTAGAGTTCACTGGGGGTCATCTTTGGAGATTAGCTATCACTTTTGATCAGAACACAGTTTCAAGAAAAGAGACGTCAACCTGTTTCCTTTAACTCATGACTTTGTGGAAATGATAAGAGGAGAGTTTTCTGATGTAATTGAGAAGGTAGATTTACCAGCTGTCCCCACTGGGCTATGAACTGAACTTACATTGGGCAATAATATTCTTTGTTCCCAGAAATTTCACTGCAGTTTGTTTTGTGCAGTTGTTTTGTTTCATTTAATTTTTTATATGAATTTATTTATTTTCAGGAAAGTCAGAAAAACCTCAGTAACCTGGGTTTTGGTCAATCTGTGCATATCAATGTTGATTTTCAACCTCCTCTTTGTGTTTGGAATCGAAAACTCCAATAAGAACTTGAAGACAAGTGATGGTGACATCAATGATATGGACTTTAACAATAATGATGTACCCCAGACCGACACCATTAACGACCCGAATCCCATGTGCACTGCAATTGCCGCCTTACTGCACTATTTTCTGTTAGTGACATTTACCTGGAATGCACTCAGCGCTGCACAGCTCTATTTCCTTCTAATAAGGACCATGAAGCCTCTTCCTCGGCATTTCATTCTTTTCATCTCATTAATTGGATGGGGTAAGTGTTTGCATCTCCCCTTTCTCAGGAATTTAATTTTGTGGAAATCATTTAAATGAACACTTATGGAAGGCCAAACAGTCCAAGGCCTTGATGTAATTAACAGGACATAGAAAGTACAGTGATTGCTAAGAATACGTTCTCTCTAGAAGCTTATACTCCAGTGAAGGAGGCAGACATGATCAAGGCAAGAATACGAGATACATCACAAACTAACTTAACTAACTTAAAAATGTTAATTTCCTTTAACATCTCTTTTTATTAATTTGATTTGAGATTTAGGCCACAAATAATTAACTTCCAGCTACTTTAAAAGAAATATTTCAAGAAAGACAATCAGAGTGACTCTTTAAGCAAAAATATTTGAAAAATTTATTGGGTTCCAGCAAAAGAAGACTTGTTTCAGGGATATCTAAATTTAAATTTATTCAAGTGACAGAGGAACTATGCCACTGAAACATGACAATTCTGGTAAGAGTTACAAAGAAACTGGACATAAGATTGATATGTAGAGCCATCACTAAAAACGAAGGGAAAGCACTTGGAGAAAAATTATGTCCACTGTCAACCTACATCTGTAGGATCACTGTATATTGTCCATAGTGAAAACAACATACATCCTGAAGAGGGTCAGATGTATAATTCATGTATGGTCTTTTATAATTAATCCAAGTCTGGATAAATCATTAATTCTATGCCTCTCTTTATCACATAGGAGTCCCAGCTATCGTAGTGGCTATTACAGTTGGAGTTATTTATTCTCAGAATGGAAAGAATCCACAATGGGAGTTAGACTACCGGCAAGAGGCAATGTGAGTTTATATTTTTTTAAATGTCCAATTGTTTGACCTAAGAGTGTAACTGTTTAGTGATATTGACTCCAAGTGTTGCTGTAATTTGCATTTCACTTTATAATTGTCATGTTTAGTGGTAGACATTTCAAATTCCCAAACAACATTATATTTTAAATGTGATGACATGGAAATTTCCCATAAGTCTTTTTGTAAAGCAACTAATCAACTTCTAAATTTATAAATGTGAACTTTATTATGTTAAATTTGTCTTCTTTCATTAAATCTGAAAATCATGATACAATAGGTATTATCCTTAGTAATCCTATATCTTAGTTTTCTCATCCAGAAAATGGGAATAACAATAATAGTAATTCCTGTTCTGGGGTCACTGCAAGGGATCAATCAAGTGTGAAAACATTTAATAACTTGAACACTCTCTATATGTCTCACTCATGTAAACCAATTCTATGTTGATATGATTTTAATGAATAGTTCATGATGATTTCTCATACATAACAAATTCTTCCTGTGATTCCAGTGTGAATAATTAACTGTTGTAACAGAAGCATCTGACTGTATGGCATTTACTTTTTTTGTGTGGGGGAGAAAAGAAAGTGGAGCTGAACTGAGACTCAACTCTTTATATGCATTTCTGCTACCAAATGGCAACTGCTCTTCAATTTATCTTCCCTTCTCATTTTATAAATCTAACTATTCTTTTCTCCAAATTCCACCTGAAGTCCCAAACCAACACAAATGAAAGCAAAACTTTTGGAAATGGGCAAGTACACCAAGGGAAGGCTGTGGTGTCTGGGAACTCACGTCTTTCCCAGGGCTGGTCACACCCAACTGTAGGCTGGGGAGCTGACTGCCTGGCCTTATTTCATGCTCCTAGACACTATGTTTGATTACGGTTAAATATCGTTTAAGGTTTTAAAATTTTAATGCCACAAGTAGAAATATCTAATTAGTGATACCCAAGTTGCAAATATCTCATAGGTGAGGTAATTCACTTCAAATTGCATTATTAATTGGTGTTAACTCATGCACAGGGCTAGACTCACTCCTTTAAAAGTCTTCAGAAGAAAGAAGCCAACTGACTTAAATTTGTTCACACTGAGCTATAAATAATTAAGGGCAGCTTCTTTCCTGATTACGGTGTTAGTTGTTGGGGAAGATACGAGGTAACTGATAATAAGAGAAGCTGGGGAGAGAGGAAAGGATGTGTGACACCAGCATCCACCTCCTCCTGGACTTTCTCCCCCACCTTCCACCCTACACACATGCCATCAACGGCCACATTTCTTCAGGATATATTGAGACCCAGGAGGGATTATTTTTGGTTTTCCTGAGTTATTCTCCTAGCAGTTGCTCCTCAACAGCCTGTGCGCTCCCCTGTTGCTCCCAGTTCTGCCAGTCATCCTGAAATCCCTGACCCAGTTACCTGAAGTACTGCTGTCTCTGCATAGACCCAGTTGCAGGGTAAATGTAGGGCAGGCCACATTCCTCTTTAATGCTCTACCCCCAGTTCTCTGTACCACTACCACGTAGGCCGTTTCAGACATTCGCGAAGGGTTCAGGTTAACATGGGAAATTATAATTGGGGGAAATTTTTCAAGAATTGCTTTTATGCTATAGCTGTCTTTCCCTATGTTCCACGGCAAACTTATCAAGGAGTTAAACACTTAATCTGCATCCAATTATAATGCTCTTCAGACCTCAAGTTCATAGCTATTTGTCGGATCAACCTCCACCATCCTGAAGATAAACTTGGCACTATTTTATTTATGGATGGACTTACTATTGTATCTGTTAGAGGGAAGCATGCCTTTGCATTTTTAGATTCATTATAGAGAATGGAACATCATCTCAGTTTCCTCCTAGGTCATTCAGATTAGAAATATGATTTTCAATACTTTAAAACTATTCCAATGCAAAAAAATTTAGAAATCCTTTGGAATGTATAATAATGGTGTTTTACAAAACTCCAGGGGAAAGAAGATAAAATTAATTGAATGCCAAATATGTGCCATAGCTTCTCACATCATTGTAACACCTAATGGCCTGACACCACCACTTGACTGTTTAATAGACATCTCCTCATCTTCCCTCCCAAACCTGCTCATCTCATCGTCTTCCCCAGTTAATAGTAATTCTCTCCTTCTAGGTGCTCAGATTTTGGAGTCATTCTTAATTCCCCTAAATACCACATCCAACCCATCAATAAATTATTTTGCTTTACTTTTAAATATATCAGGAATCAGACTCTTTCTTAACATCTCCTCTCCTGGTCCAAACTACCATATTATTGCAATAGACTCCTAGCTAATATTTCCTACTTTTGCTCATGCTGTTCTCTCATCACTGCACCTGGAGTAATGCTTTTAAAACTCAAGGCAGATCATGTCATGTCTCTCCATGTTGTCTAGGGTACAAGCAATCACCCACAAAGCTCCTACATCATTTATATCTTTGCATTAACGTTATCCACTTTCTGTGGTTCAGCCATACTAGCCTTTTTTTCCTTCTTAAGCTGTCACCTCAGGGCCTTTGCACTTGAAGTGATTTCTGCCTGGAACACACTTCTCCATCATCTACTTCAGGTCTTTGCTCAAATACAGCTTTTTCCGTGAGGTTTTCCCTGATCGCTCTATTTAAAATGAAACACCCCTACCCTCCACACACATATACATAGTAATTTCTACTCTCATTACCTGATTTACTTTTTCTCCATGGCATTTGTCACCATCTGATATATTGTGTATTTTATTTACTTTATTTTATCTATTTCTCTGCACTAAAATGTAACCTCATTAAAGAAGGGATTTTTGTTTTGTTCACTGCTAATACCTTGGTGTCTAAAACAGTATCTCTAGCAAATAGTATGTACTCTGTAAATACTTATTAAATGAATTAATTAATTCTTTCAACAATGCCAGTAGGTGGTTACTATTATTCTCACCTCAGATGAGAAAAAAACACCACTACAACCACCACCACCAAAAAAAAAAAAAAAAAAAAAACCACCCACAAAACAAAAACAAAACAGGTACAATGAGGTTAAGTAACTTTTTCAAACTCTTTTTAAGCATTTAATATTTAAAAAATGCCCATCAATAGGAGACAGTTTAAAGTTACAGTATATTATTTCACTTTTCTAGAGGGTGGAATTCTTGAAAGTCATCTCAAATGTATAAAATGCAGAGGGATGTTAACTTTTAGCAGATCTTTCAGGTGAGTGAATGTCAATAATGTTAATAGCACAAGGAACCAGTAGGTATACCTTTCTTAGTCTGCTGAAATAATATTTTTTTTTCTTCACAGCTGCTGGCTGGCAATTCCAGAACCTGATGGTGTTATAAAAAGTCCACTGTTGTGGTCATTCATCGTACCTGTAACCATTATCCTCATCAGCAATGTTGTTATATTTATTACAATCTCGATCAAAGTGCTGTGGAAGAATAACCAGAACCTGACAAGGTAAGATTCCCAACGAATGGGACGCTGCCAGGCAAGGCTCATCCAGCACATAACACAGCACCATAACACATCTACAGTTCCAGGAGCTTTCAAACTCAGACAATGGCAGGGCTGTGTGGTTCGCAGGAGAGATTTCCTCTTACACTTTGACTCAGGAAGTGGATCTTCTCGTCTTCTCACATCAGTATAGTCTGCTCTCAATATCCTGGGTTTCCACATCTGTGGATTCAACAAAACGAGGATCAACTAAAAACTAAACCTAGACTTCAAGAAAAAAAATTTTCTGCCCTTGTCCTAAATATTTAAGAAATCATATTTGAATAATTAAAGAAATGAGAGGGTTGTGAGGAAATGCTGGTCCCTGGATTTTCATTTTATTAATACAATCCAGTACCTGTTGGCTGTATTTTACATGTATTGCTTGAATTACACAATAGCACTAAAATTTCTTATTTATTTTATTTTATTATTATTTTTTGAGACAGGGTCTTGCTCTGCCATCCAGGCTGGTGTGCAGTGGCACAATCACAGCTCACTGCAGCCTTGACTTCCTGAACTCAAGCGATCCTCTCCCCTCAGCCTCCAGAGTAGCTGGGACTACAGGCACACACTACCATGCCCAGCTAATCTTTTTCTATTTTTTATAGCGATGTAGTCTCTGTCAAAAAGAGGCTGGTCTGGAACTCCTGGGCTCAAGTGATCCTCCTCAATTGGTTTCCCAAAGTGCTCAGATTACAGGCATAAGCCCAGCCTTAAATGTTTTAAATTAGTGGCAAACATACAAAAATTTGGAGAGCTCACTTAAAAATTAAATTTTCGGCAGGGCACAATGGCTCATGCCCGTAATCCCAGAACTTTGGGAAGCCGAGGCGGGTGGATCACCAGAGCTTGGTAGTTTGAGACCAGCCTGACCAACATGGAGAAACCCTGTCTCTACTAAAAATACAAACTTAGCCAGGTGTGGTGGCACATGCCTGTAGTCCCAACTACTCGGGAGGCTGAGGCAGGAGAATCACTTTAACCTGGGAGGCGAAGGTTGTGGTGAGCCGAGATTGCACCATTGCACTCCAGCCTGGGCAACAAGAGCGAACTTCATGTAAAAAAAAAAAAAAGAAAAAGAATTGAATTTTCTCTTGAAAAAATTGGAATATCTGGCCACTCTAAGCTGACATTCCCTGCAGGGCTCATGTGCTTTCTGATTTACCAGTTCACATCCATGCTGCTTCTCTCCTTTCTATAACCTTTCTGGCTCCAAAAAGCATTTTCATTGTCATCCCTGCTATACAACAAGAACATTCAGTTGGAGAGACAAAAAGCAGAAACTATTAAACACTTATACTCTACCCCTCCTGACCCCATCTCCATAGCATAAATTGACGAGAATACAGTGCTAATGAAACTATGAGTTCAGATTTAATTCTATAAGATTTTGCTCATATTTAAGTAGACTTAATAAATGCAGGCACATCTGTGAGCTTATAGCAAGCTTACAAATAGATCCACTTAGTGTGACCAGATGAGTAAAAGCCACCATCTTTAGTGGGACTATATCTTTTGTTTCTTTTAATGCTAACATTTTAATTAAACCAGTACAAGCACCATGCTTAACAAAAGACTGTCCAAAATAAACATGCAATATGAATTAGCAGAGATTGAAACCACAGCTTAAGAAGTTGTGCCAGTTGTTGGTTTTTTCAAATGATGACAGAGAACTGTTAAAATTCACAAGACTAAACCATTAATGTTTCCAGTCTGCCGAATGAGATTATATTGGACCATCGAAATCAGCAGGAACTGCCCTGTCATGTTAATGATCTCAAACAATATTCAAGTAATTATATTTATATGAATTATACTCCAAAAAGCAAGAAAATACAATTTCACAAGTTTACTGTGTATGAGCACTGATTTGAAATGTCAAATGGCATAATAAAAACAAATTTCTCAAGAATATTCAGCTTGGGACCATTGATTTTAAGTGGCCTAGAAGATTATTACATTCTTTCAGAAACACAAAATAAGATTTGTCCAGAAATGTTTGAAACACATCCTCACAAAAGTTGTTCATGGCTCAAACTCTACAGATTCCAGTATTATCAGTTTATTGAACAAATAGGGAAAGCAACCATAGTAAGAATACTTGAATTTATAAAATACAAGTTACCCTCCGCTTCCACCAAATAACAGCATTTAAACTCTTATGAAAATATCTATTCATCACTTGTCCGCATATGGATGAATGGCATTGCTCAGGTTTTAGAAGTAGTTCAAACATTTTTTAAGTACACCTTCCTTAATATCTGTATGGGTTGGGGGGAAACAGCCAAATTTAATTTGGCAATAAACTCCCCTAACTGGAAATTTTTAAAGTGTCAGACAAGGATGTAGTTTATGGCTACATTTGACCCCGAAAATAGGAGATAAAAAGGGAGGGAAAAGTACTGACACACATTTTGGCGCACAGATTATTTAGTAATGACAGTAAAAAAATTTAGCTACACGCTCTTAAACAACAGTATGTTTAACTGCACTAGGCATTTAGTAAACTTTTAGAACTAGACAATTTGCGCATTTATTTTAGAAGTCAATTAAACTAAAGCAGTCAACCAACTTTTTTCCTAATATAATTGCATCAATACCAGAACAAAGTGATCACTATTCAAAATTCAGACATTTTGGAATTTCAGCATACTAACCTGAGAAGTTTTCTTCATATGTATTTTTTGTTGTCATGGAAGCCACATTAAATAATATTGTGATTACTAGTTGATTTTATTTTGACATTAGATGCTATGCAGAACTTATGCAGGGCCAACAATTTCAACACTAACGCTGACTTAGAAGACCATGAAGGAGGGTCCCAGGAAAAAAGTTGCTGCCAAAAAGGAAAGAAAGATTAAAACTGAATGGGAATGGTTGCATCAGAAAGATACGGAATGTAAAAACTGGAATTATGAAACCTGGAGTTATTATTTGGGGAATGGTAGAAAAAAGACACTAAGTAGGAAATATACTTGAAAAGAACAATGCAAACTTTAGTAAAATGAAAGGGAAATCTATACAAATATTTGAGAACACTTTAGAGCATGAGATTTGTCAATCTCCCCATAGAACAGATGAAATAAAAATGTGCTACTGATCCTCTAACCTCAATCTGTTGTGTTGCAAAAAAGATGTTATTGACTAGGAGTCAGGCAAGCTCAAAAAAGCATGGTTTATCACAGCTCTTTGCTCCTGTTAAAGAGAGTAGGGGAACTAAAAGTTCTAATGTACGGCAGGTCAATATTATCTGACATTATGGAGGACCTCCAAATTTAAAAATAAACAAAACTAAAACATGCAAGACAAAATAAGGAACTTCATTTAAAAATACATTCTTGTGGCACTAGTTTCTCTTATTGCTGCAAACCAGGTGAAACAAAACCCATTTCCTTCATTCAGAAATATTAAAAACACTCTCCACTCACTTGGATTACATTTGCATTTCTACAGAATTATATGCATGTTTTTCTCCAATATCAAAATACCTGTTTAAAGAATTGTTAAACTTCCTGGGTGAGTTTTCTCTCTCTCTGGAAATTGGAATAAAGAATCTTTTCCCACCAAGAACCAAAGCAAACACCTACTCTAGAACTTCCTCATCTCCAACTAACTTTCTGTTTCTTCCTGACTTCTAAATTAGTGAAGCCAAAGTTGGGAACAGAAGATGTTCTATTCAACATCATGAAAATTCCAACTATCTTTGCTTCTCACAGAAACCTCAAAAATAAAATGCAAAGAGCACATGAATGGAAAACATGCCAAAATTTAAATTTTGCTAGTTTTGAGATGACTAAGATGTTCTTAATATAAGAATTAACTCACCAAATTTGGTTAGTCTTTAGATTCTCTAGACCTATTATCAAATTCATATTGAATGGTTACTTATATATTTGTTTCTACAAGTATGCCAAATAACAGAATCCTTGCTTCATGCCAAGAATACCATCATCTAACAAGACTGGTTTAGTTAACTCTTCAGGCAGCCAGTTCAGAATATCTTCTGACATTTAGGATATAAGACGTGATATTATTGTTTTAACGTTATTAACTATGGACAAAGTTTAAAGATTTTTTTTCCTATGGCACAAAACTAATCACAATATACCCAAAATTATAACTCTCGACTGCCATATACTCACCAATGCAAGCAGATAGTTGGAATTTTAAAAATATGAAGTTGATTTTATTATAAATTTCAGATATACACATTAGAAAATTATTTTATTTGGAATCTTTAAAAAAGTATTAATTTCACCAAATCTGGAATACTGGCAGTGTAAAAGTCTTAAACTAACTTTAAAACTAACAAATCAAAGGCACATTATTAACACATTTAAAATAATTAGTGTTCATTAGTGACATTAAGTGGTGCTTTAGAAATGAAGTGTTATTAACCTAGATGCAAAACTGTTTAGAAATGACATAAAAGGAATGAAGCCCTTGATTATTACAACCCACCAATTTCTAAGACTAAGATACTATTTTCCATAAGAAGAAAAGCTAACAGTCATAATTCTATCATAAAATCTAACTCCCCAACCTTAAAAATTAGTGATTGATGAACATAGTTTCTAGATTTGATTAAAAAGATACAGGAAACCAAACAAGATACAGAACTGATCAATGTACTTGTGATGCAGGTTACACTACAGTCAATTATTCATGGCTCAATACTGGGTCACTCAAGTCTTTGACCCCAAATTAATTTCAATGATTTGACAAGTGATAATACGCTATTTTCATAAATAAACTGCTAACATCCAGTATTTGTCAAAAGGAGGCAACTGTTGTCTCTCACAATCTAATATATGCACATTCCAATGGTGTCTGTAAATAGTAACAAATTCTGAATCATAAGGTATAGAAATTAGTCACAAGAGTGCAAAAAGTCCCTGGAGAAAAGCAATCCACCTAACAATTACCAATACAAGCAAACACCATACAAAGGTTCATTACTATGAAGATGATTTCCTCTTGGTTCAAACTTTGCACAAATGAAGAATTTTTCTTTACTGCAGAAAACAGACTGTAAGTAACAGTGCATTTTTAGACACAAATAAGTATTGATGTGTGGTTCCAATATGGTCAGGTTAATACATAAATACTTTGGAAACACAGAAGTTCACATTAGTGGAAAAATCCAAGTTTATCACTTAACCATTCTTCAGTTAGGTCTTCCATATTTCTTATTTCAAATACCTTGGTTAGTTCAGCTCTCTGGACTAGCTTATTCTTACTCCCAGCATACATCATCTGTTGTTCAGGCTTACGTCCAACAGAACTGGAGAAAATAAAGCACAAAGGATATGGAACTCTCCCATCCATTATGTTGATATTTATAACTATACACAGTGAAGTGAGGTTGTCGTTCAGGCAGTTCATCTTCAAGTTCATCTGGTGAAATACCCTCGAGCTCCTCATCCAGTACCACCGGGCGTTTATCCTTGTCAATTTTCATTATAATAGCAGCATTGTTCATTTCTTGGTCAAAATGAAACTTTCTCAGCTTTTCCACTAAATCTTCAGCAACATTACAAACCACCAAAGACTCACTCATTTCCTTTCAGGCTGTCAGCGGCCTGTTGCCTTCACTTGGGCACCTTTTTCTAGTGGGACTATATCTGAAATATGTACTTTACAGATCAAGGGTAAATATCATTCTTCCTGTGTGAATGGTAGTTCATATTCAGGAGAAATATGGTAAAAACTATTATCACTGATAAACATTAAAAGTGTGTTTACTGAACATAAGTGGTGAGAGTGGAAAGAAAAAATAGTATGTTTAATAGCAATGCAAAGAAACCTTGGTAAAGGCTTCTTTACCTAATTGCGCATTAGGATTTATTTCCTTCATACAAAAATTATCATGTTTGGCCAGATACCAATTAAATTTGCATTGCTAAATTTTGACTGATAGACTGTGGTTCATAAATTGGCCTAGTTATAATGACAAGCAGACTGTGATTTAATTATTTAACAAATAACTTTCATGTGTTCAGTAGCTACATAACAAATTGCCCCAAAACTTAATGGTGAAGAATGACAAATGTTTATTATTTGCCATGAGTTGAGTGTTGGCTGGGTAGTTCTGTCTTGACTGGCTTAGATGCTTATTAACGATCTAGGATGACTCACTTTTTTTTTTTTTTTTTTTTGAGATGGAGTCTCACTCTGTCACCCAGGCTGGAGTACAGTGGTGCGATCTTGGCCACTGTAACCTCCGCCTCCTGGGTTCAAGCAATTCTCTGCCACAGCCTCCAGAGTAGCTAGGATTACAGGCATCTACCACCACACCTGGCTAATTTTTTTTTATTATTATATTTTAAGTTCTGGGTTACATGTGCAGAATGTGCGCTTTTGTTACATAGGTATACACGTGCCCTGGTGGTTTGCTGCATCTGTTAACCCATCACCTACATTAGGTATTTCTCCTAATGCTATCCCTCCCCTACCCCCTCACCACCTGACAGGCTCCAGTGTGTGATGTTCCCCTCCCTGTGTCCATGTGTTCTCACTGTTCACCTCCCACTTATGAGTGAGAACATGCAGTGTTTGGTTTTCTGTTCTTGTGACAGTTTGCTGAGAATGATGGTTTCCAGCTTCATCCATGTCCACGCAAAGGACATGAACTCATCATTTTTTATGGCTGCATAGTATTCCATGGTGTATACGTGCCACATTTTCTTAATCCAGTCTATCATTGATGGACATTTGGGTTGGTTCCAAGTCTTTGCTATTGTGAATAGTGCCGCAATAAACATACGTGTGCATGTGTCTTCATGTGTCTTTATTGTAGAATGATTTATAATCCTCTGGGCATATGCCCAGTAATGGGATGGCTGGGTCAAATGGTATTTCTAGTTCTAGATCCTTGAGGAAGCACCACACTATCTTCCACAATGGTTGAATTAATTTACACGCCCACCAACAGTGTAAAAGTGTTTCAGGCGCCACTAGGGTATGGGAAAAAAAAATAGAGCTCCGTAGCTAGTTCGGTGTCTGCCCAATTGGCCGCCCAGTTTTGTGCTTGACACCCAGGGCCTTGGTGGGGCAGGAACTGGAGGGAATCTCCTGGTTTGTGGGTTTGGAAGCCTGTGGGACAAGCGCAGTATCAGTGCGGGAGTTCTTCAGGCTCAGACCCTCAAGGCTTCCCTTGGGTAGGGGAGAAAATTCCCCAACCCCTTGCGCTTCCCAGGAGAGGCGACACCCTACCCTGCTCCAGCTGGCCCTCTGTGGGCTGCATCCATTGTCCAATCAGTCCCCGTGAGATGAACCGGGTACCTCCGTTGAAAATGCAGAAATCAGCCGCCTTCTGCGTCAGTCTCGCTGGGAGCTGCAGACCGGTGCTGTTCCTATTCGGCCGTCTTGAATCCTTCATGACTCACTTTTATGTCTGGTGGTTGGTGTTTGGTTGGTTTTAGTAGCAACTGCTCAGTTGGGAAAGCTCATCTCTGCTCCATATAGTCTCTCATCTGCCATTAAACCAGTCCAGGCTTCTTAATATAGTGGTCTCAGGGTTCTAAAGAGGTGTAAGGGAAGGCAAATTAATAAACAGATGCTTTCAAGTCTCTACTTGATAAATTTGCTAATGTTCCACTGGTCAAAGTAAGTCACATGGCCAAGTCCACGATCCAGGGGCATAGACTTTCCATAAGAGGAAGAAGATCGCTCTGCATCTAACTAACCTTTCTCTCCCACATCAACTTAAGGCTCAGGAAGGTCCAAGGTGCCAAAAAGGGGATTCCTCCCTTGGCTGATCTGTGGTAATACTCACAACATTGAAATTCCATGTCAGTGAAGAAGTTGGTTCTTGAAATTTGCCTGCTGTGGTATTAAGGAGCTGTGTTTGCCTGAGGTTTTAAACAAGTATCAATGTAGTCAAAATAAAGCTTGCTAAATCAGATTTTCTCCAGAGTGATGTAAGACTTAGCATCATTTTTCCACCTGGGGCTTAATATTGTTAAGTGAACAATATGTATGGGCAGCTGAATATGCATTCTAAATAGGAGAGTAATAATGACGTCGATGAGTAAAACCCTAATGAACTACATTATTTTTCTTGTTTTCTTTCACCTAGCACAAAAAAAGTTTCATCCATGATGAAGATTGTTAGCACATTATCTGTTGCAGTTGTTTTTGGAATTACCTGGATTCTGGCATATCTGATGCTAGTTAATGATGATAGCATCAGGATCATCTCCAGCTACATTTTCTGCCTTTTCAACACTACACAGGTATGGTGTGGATTAGAGTGAAAGTAGCAGAACATGCGGTGGTGGAGATATCACCTTGACCCATTCCTTAGTAACCTTTAAGAGATTATTTAAAAAAAAACTAGTGGGTACATAGTAGGTGTATATATTTATGGAGTACAAGAGATATTTTGATACTGTCACAAAATGTATAATAATTACTTCAGGATAAAAGGGGTACCCATATTCTCAAGCATTTACTCTTTATTTGTGTTACAAACAATCAAATTACACTCTTAGTTATTTAAAAATATACAATTAAATTATTATTGACTGGCTGGGCATGGTGGCTTACGGCTTATAATCCCAGCACTTTGAGAGGGCAAGATGGGTGGATTGCCTGAGGTCAGGAGTTCAAGACCAGTCTAGCCAACATGGTGAAACCCTATCTCTACTAAAAATACAAAAAAATTAGCTGGGTATGGTGGCATGCGCCTGTAATCCCAGCTACTTGGGAGGCTGAGGCAGGGGAATTGCTTGAACCAGGGAGGTGTAGGTTGCAGTGAGCTAAGATCACCCACTGCACTTCAGCCTGGGTGACAGAGGGAAATTCTATCTAAAAAAAAATTATTATTGACTATAATCACCCTGTTGTGCTGTCAAATACTAGATCTTATTCATTCTAACTATATTTTTGTACCCATACCCATTAACCATTCCCACTTTCCCTTCCCCTCACTGTAATTCCCAGCCTCTGGTAACACTCATTCTACTCTCTATCTCCAGGATTTCAATTTTTTAAACTCTTTAGGTCCCAAATAAGTGAGAATGTGCAAAGTTTGACTTTCTGTGCCTGGTTTATTTCACTTAACGTAATGACCTCCAGTTTCATACACGTTGTTACAAATGACAGGATCTCATTCTTTTTAATGGCTGAATAGTACTCCATTGTGTATATGTACTGCATTATCTTTATCCATTCGTCTGTTGATGGATACTTAGTTTGCTTCCAAGTCTTGGCTATTTTGAATAGTGCTGTGAAAAACATGGGAGTGCAGATATTTCTTTGATATACTGATTTCTTTTCTTTTGAATATATATCTAGCAGTGGGATTGCTGGATCATATGGTATTTCTATTTTTAGTTTTTTTATTATTATACTTTAAGTTCTGGGGTACATGTGCAGAACGTGCCAGTTTGTTACATTGGTATACATGTGCCATGGTGGTTTGTTGCACCCATCAACCCATCATCTACATTAGGTATTTCTCCTAATGCTATCCCTCCGCTAGCCCCCAACTCCCCAGCAGGCCCCAGTATGTGATGTTCCCCTCCCTGTGTCCACATGTTCTTATTGTTCAGCTACCACTTATGAGTGAGAACATGCAGTGTTTGGTTTTCTGTTCTTGTGTTAGTTTGCTGAGAATGATGGTTTCCAGTTTAATCCATGTCCATGCAAAGACATGAACTCATCCTTTTTCATGGCTGCATAGTATTCCATGGTGTATATGTGCCACATTTTCTTTATCCAGTCTATCATTGATGGACATTTGGGTTGGTTCCAAGTCTTTGCTACTGCAATAAACATACATGTGCATGTGTCTTTATAGTAGAATAATTTATAATTCTTTGGGTATACACCCAGTAATGGGATTACTGGGTCAAATGGTATTTCTGATTCTAGATCCTGAGGAATTGCCACACTGTCTTCAACAATGGTTGAACTAATTTACACTCCCACCAACAGTGTAAAAGTGTTTCTATTTCTCCACATCTTCTCCAGCATCTGTTGTTTCCTGACTTTCTGATGATTTGCCATTCTAACTGGTGTGAGATGGTATCTCATTGTGGTTTTGATTTGCATTTCTCTAATGACCAGTGCTGATGAACTTTTTCTTTCATGTATTTGTTACCTTCATAAATGTCTTCCTTTGAGAAGTGTCTGTTCATATCCTTTGCCCACTTTTTGATGGGGCTGTTTGTTTTATTCTTGTAAATTTGTTTAAGTTCTTTGTAGATTCTGGGTATTAGCCCTTTGTCAGATGGATAGATTACAAAAATTTTCTCCCATTCTATAGGTTGTTGCCTGTTCACTCTGATGATAGTTTCTTTTGCTGTGCAGAAGCTCTTTAGTTTAATTAGATCCCCTTTGTCAATTTTGGCTTTTGTTGTCATTGCTTTTGGTGTTTTAGTCATGAAGTCTTTGCCCATGCCTATGTCCTGAATGGTATTGCCTAGGTTTTCTTCTAGGATTTTTATGGTTTTAGGTCTTACATTTAAGTCTTTAATCATCTTGAGTTAATTTTTTGTATAAGGTATAAAGAAGAGGTCCAGTTTCAGTTTTCTGCATATGGCTAGCCAATTTTCCCAACACCATTTTTAATTTATTTTATTTTTACTTATTTATTTATTTTGTTTATTTTTTTATTATTATACTTTAAGTTCTAGGGTACATGTGCATAACGTGCAGGTTTGCTACATATGTATACTTGTGCCATGTTGGTGTGCTGCACCCATCAACTCGTCAGCACCCATCAACTCGTCACTTACATCAGGTATAACTCCCAATGCAATCCCTCCCCGCTCCCCATAATAGGCCCCGGTGTGTGATGTTCCCCTTCCCATGTCCAAGTGATCTAATTGTTCAGTTCCCACCCATGAGTGACAACATGCGGTGTTTGGTTTTCTGTTCTTGCGATAGTTTGCTGAGAATGATGGTTTCCAGCTGCATCCATGTCCCTACAAAGGACACAAAGTCATCCTTTTTTTGGCTGCATAGTATTCCATGGTGTATATGTGCCACATTTTCTTAATCCAGTCTGTCACTGATGGACATTTGGGTTGATTCCAAGTCTTTGCTATTGTGAATAGTGCCGCAATGAACATACGTGTGCATGTGTCTTTATAGCAGCATGATTTATAATCCTTTGGGTATATACCCAGTAATGGGATGGCTGGGTCACATGGTACTTCTAGTTCTAGATCCTTGAGGAATCGCCATGCTGTTTTCCATAATGGTTGAACTAGTTTACAATCCCACCAACATTGTAAAAGTGTTCCTATTTCTCCACATCCTCTCCAGCACCCATTGTTTCCTGACTTTTTAATGATTGCCATTCTAATTGGTGTGAGATGGTATCTCATTGTGGTTTTGATTTGCATTTCTCTGATGGCCAGTGATGATGAGCATTTTTTCATGTGTCTGTTGGCTGTATGCATATCTTCTTTTGAGAAATGTCTGTTCATATCCTTTGCCCACTTTTTGATGGGATTGTTTGTTTTTTTCTTGTAAATTTGTTTGAGTTCCTTGTAGATTCTGGATATTAGCCCTTTGTCAGATGAGTAGATTGCAAAAATCTTTTCCCATTCTGTAGGTTGCCTGTTCACTCTGATGGTAGTTTCTTTGGCTGTGCAGAAGCTCTTTAGTTTAATTAGATCCCATTTGTCAATTTTGGCTTTTGTTGCCATTGCTTTTGGTGTTTTAGACATGAAGTCCTTGCCCATGCCTATGTCCTGAATGGTATTACCTAGGTTTTCTTCTAGGGTTTTTATGGTATTAGGTCTAACATTTAAGTCTCTAATCCATCTTGACTTAATTTTCATATAAGGTGTAAGGAAAGGATCCAGTTTCAGCTTTCTATTTATGGCTAGCCAATTTTCCCAGCACCATTTATTAAATAGGGAATCCTTTTCCCATTTCTTGTTTTTCTCAGGTTTGTCAAAGATCAGATGGCTGTAGATGTGTGGTGTTATTTCTGAGGGCTCTGTTCTGTTCCATTGGTCTATATCTCTGTTTTGGCACCAGTACCATGCTGTTTTGGTTACTGTAGCCTTGTAGTATAGTTTGAAGTCAGGTAGTGTGATGCCTCCAGCTTTGTTCTTTTGACTTAGGATTGTCTTGGCTATGCAGGCTCTTTTTTGGTTCCATATGAAATTTAAAGTATTTTTTTCTGATTCTATGAAGAATGTCAATGGTAGTTTGATGGGAATAGCATTGAATCTATAAATTACTTTGGGCAGTATGGCCATTTTCACAATATTAATTATTCCTATCCATGAGCATGGAATGTTTTTCCATTTATTTGTGTCCTCTCTTATTTCCTTGAGCAGTAGCTTGTAGTTCTCCTTGAAGAGGTCCTTCACATCCCTTGTAAGTTGGATTCCTAGGTATTTTATTCTCTTTGAAGTAATTGTGAATGGAAGTTCATTCATGATCTGGCTCTCTGTTTATCTGTTCTTGGTGTATAGGAATACTTGTTATTTTTACACAGTGATTTTGTATCCTGAGACTTTGCTGAAGTTGCTTATCAGCTTAAGGAGATTTTGGGCTGAGACGATGGGGTTTTCTAAATATACAATCATGTCATCTGCAAACAGAGACAATTTGACTTCCTCTTTTCCTATTTGAATACCCTTTATTTCTTTCTCTTGCCTGATTGCCCTGGTCAGAACTTCCAATACTATGTTGAATAGGAGTGGTGAGAGAGGGCATCCCTGTCTTGTGCCAATTTTCAAAGGGAATGCTTCCAGTTTTTGCCCATTCAGTATGATATTGGCTGTGGGTTTGCCATAAATAGCTCTTATTATTTTGAGATGTGTTTCGTCAATACCTAGTTTATTGAGAGTTTTTAGCATGATGGGGTGTTGAATTTTGTCAAAGGCCTTTTCTGCATCTATTGAGATAATCATGTGGTTTTTGTCATTGGTTCTATTTATGTGATGGATTACGTTTATTGATTTGCACATGTTGAACCAGCCTTGCATACCAGGGATGAAACTGACCTGATCATGGTGGATAAGCTTTTTGATGTGCTGCCAGATTCAGTTTGCTAGTATTTTACTGAGGATTTTCACATCGATGTTCATCAGGGATATTGGCCTGAAATTTTCTTTTTTTGTTGTGTCTCTGCTAGGATTTAGTATCAGGATGATGTTGGTCTCCTAAAATGAGTTAGGGAGAATTTTCTCTCTTTCAATTGTTTGAAATAGTTTTAGAAGGAATGGTACCAGCTCCTCTTTGTACCTCTGTTAGAATTCAGCTG